AATATCTTCTTCTACGCGTCCACTTTCCTCTTCTTTGTATTTTCCATCAGTGTGGAGTGGCACAGTGTCGCCTCTTACAGGCCATTCATGGTACGACAACAGACATTGCCATGCATGCGGTGTGTTGCAAGCGCGTGTTTCACACTCTATTAAACAGACGCGTTGTTTTTATTTTCTTTTAGTTATTTGTGGGCTCTCGCATTGTAAAAAAAAAAATCAGTCCGCCTGCTCCCCACTTGAAACATTTGGAGCCAAACGCACAGCCAGCCCCGATACTCGAACTGGTCGGCCGTCAAACAATGTCCACACGCCATTTTTGAGGAAACCAAAACAGGGCACGAGGAGACAATCTCCCTTTCATTTTCATTCACGCCGTTGGTTTTGATCAAGAAAATGGAAAGCGGGGTTGGTTGCTGGAGGGAGGCCAGTTGACTTCCAAAATGCTGCCAAGGTGCCCTTAGCAAAGCCCCAAACTTCCAAGTTGATATTAGACACTTACCATGCAGCTCACATTTGTATTAGTAGCAGATGATGTTGAATTTTTTTTTTTTGTCTTGGCACGGCTGACGTGAAATTCATGTTATTGGATAGATTACTTGTGTAAACGTGGTACAGATGTGCCTCGATAAAGAAAGCACTGTGACTCTTTTCCAAGCAAGTACCTTTTCCCTCACTTATATTTCTGAGCGCCGAACATACATCACCTGTTCGTCAACGATAAGCGATGTGATAAACGGGAGCTTGTTTTGAACACACATGCCACTTGTCCTCGTTTCATCAAAAGTTTCTTTCCAATTTCCAATTTTTTTTTTTTTTTTTTTTTACATCTTTCAAAGCCTTTGCGGTTGCAAACCAGCAGAAACTCCGACTGTGAGCACACATGGAGGCCGTCAGCACAGCCTTCAGAAGCCTTTCGCTTCATAGCCGCTGTACACAAACGATTCACGACTTGAGAAGTCTGCTTTCATACATTTATGTGAGTTTGAGTCGTTGTAAAAATTGGCGTCGGGGCTTGTAACATTGGATTTCTGAACAGACTTATTTTATTTGATGCGTACAAGGTGAGCTAACAGAGAAGCGGCAGTTGTGAAACAGTTGCGACGAATTGAAAATTGTTTTTTTTACGGATCAAGGGAGCGGTCCGAGCCTTTGAACCCAAACATGGCGTTTTCACATTAGCACCCTTTAGTTGAGTTGAATCGGCTCATGGCTTGTTTTTCCGCCTTGGTTTTTCCGTTCGTTTGAGCACAGTAGCAAAACGCCGGTGATGTAAAAAACTGGACAAACGTCTTATGTTTGTTTATCCATAACACGCTCATTACTAAGACTCCACCCGAGCTTCACTCTCTGCTCATTTGTGAACGTTTTATTCACCTTGTGCTATGACGTCACTGGAATCACACCGTACAGTTTGTTGTGTACATATTTGTATTTGCTTATTTTGCTTTGTTTGACCCCGCTGTTTGCTGCCAGGTCGGCATGGCACATGAGAATCTGTTCTCGATTGCCTGGCCTGGATGAATAAAGATCACATAAATGGAGAAATACAGCGGTACCTCTACTTACGAAATGAATTGCTTCCGGAAGAAATTTCTTAACTAGAAAATGTTGTAAGTAGAGACGCATTTTCCATGGAGATGCCCTAATCCGTTCCAAGCCCCCCAAAATTCAGACACAAATGTTTTATAAAGCATAAAAATGCATCAAAATATGGAACAAATACATGTTACAAATTAGATTATTGCACCATAAATGAGGGTTGTGCATCATTTAAAAAAATAAGAATAGAGTAAAAATAAAAATGATGGTCATTTTTCTTTTAACTACGTCCTCGTCGTTTTTTTGCCCTCTTAAGTTCATGTTCTCTCTAAGAAGTGGTTTTTGCCTGACGTTGTGTAAAGAACTGAGCGAAGGACGTCTGCTTTTGTCGGCTTTTAACAATCCTTTTTTTCCAAGGCAAACATCAGCAGAGTGAGCGATCGCCCGACTGGTGAACACTTTTTCTGGGCGATTCACATTTCCATAAAACTATCGGAACACCTCATGGCCCGAGAGGCGAATGACGAGGACGCTGAATAAACACACATCCATCTATCTACACACATAGACACATACGGTAAGAGGTCCCTCTGAGCCAATGGGATGCCAGGAAGATGCTTGGTAATAGCCAATGGGAGAGCAGCTAGAAGTATGTTGCGTTCAGGAAAACTCGGAGCTGCGACGAGCAGCCCAGACTGTATTTTTACCTTTCGTTTCTTGAAATGTCTTTCCTAACAAGAGGCAATATTTTCCTGTTGAGGCGTTTTGTAACTTGAAATTTTCGTATGAAGACACGCTCGTAAGTCGAGGTACCACTGAAATCCAAACCGGTGATTTATCAAATTTCTCTTTGGTTTGGCAAGTGTTTGGTTAGCCCGTTAGCATGTTTGGTTGTTGTAGTCTGTCAGTTTTTTTCGCGTATGAATTTGCCCACGAGGAATCCAAGTGACTTAAGTGCTGGTGTATTCTAGCTTGTGTGTTATGTTACGTTATGTTATGTTATAAAATTGAAAAAAAAAATTGCTCCATGCGATGCTTAGTGCTGTCCATACACCAAAGTCTCTCGTTTGCCTGTAAACCGTCCACCTGAGCAGTAAGTCCAAGTGCCACATGCCCTCAGTCCCACCGAGGGACCGTGCTTGAAACTGCAATTAGCGGACGCTTAATCACCCCAACAAATCTTCTCCTGTTTGAATCTCCTATTGAAGTGGTCTCCGGTTCCAAGTTTGGTGCCACTCCAGAAGACAGCTGCCCTTGCTTCTGCCACTACATCTCATCTTAGCAAGTCCTCAATGAAGCAATGATGCAAACTAATAAGTGGCTGATCCGATCCTCGAGTTTTTTTTTTTTTTTCTTTTCATTTCCAGGCAGTAAGAGCAGCTGCTCACATGTGCATTCATGAGCGCAGCGCCCGGATTAGCCAAGACAAAACGTCAGAGCGCAGCGGTCCTTTCTCCCATCGGCCTGAGCGCCAACCACAGCTGTTCGGCACCACTTGACTTTGCCAGCAAAACGTGGTCTCGGATGGCTGCAGACACTTTGGTCCCTGCTCGCCAAAACATTTGTCTTGGCTGTAATTTTTTTTTTTTTTGTGTGGTGATGTCCTCCTCTCCCTGATGTGTGCTGGGATACTTTGAGAAAAAAAACATAGCCGCTGGCCATGTGCGCCGATGACAAGTAACACCCGATCAGTGGAGCTTCTCAGCTCTTAACTGCGGCCCAATCGAAAGCAGCCGTCCTCCAAAAAAAACGGCATACCTTTTTTTTTTTTGTCTTTTTGCAGGACCGACTCGCGACAGCTGAAGCGTCTGTGACGGCCTTTCCGCGCTCTTCGCTAGCCCTTTGCACTTATGTTTTCATTCTTTCCGAGGCCGTAAATCACCAGCCCACCCGACAAGGTCGTCTTTGCTCCTGTTCTTCCGTTCGCCGCACTGCGTTTGTTCACAGGTGTCAAACGCAAGGCCCCGGGGGCCGGATCTGGCCCGCCGCATCATTTTATGTGGCCCCTGAAAGCAGATCATGTGTGTCAATTTAACTGAATAACGTTGAGATTTTGCATTTTTTCGATGGTGCTCGTTGTGATTAATTGCGGGTGAGCTGGAGCGTATCCCAGCTGACCTTGGACAACAGGCAAGGGTGCATACCGGGGTGGTCACTGACACCTGTGGACAGTTTAGATTCTTCAATTAACCCCTTTAGACAAGTTTTTGAAATGCGAGTGGAATCGAAAACATGAGCCTCGAAACATGCGAACCGATACGCCCACCGTGCGGAGCAGTCACCTTCAGTTTCTCCAAACAATTTGTTGCGTCTTCCCCGGCACAAATCATCGGAGACATAAAACGCTCAAACGCTAATCTCTACGAATTACCGTCAGCCAGTTTAAAGAATCAGCCGAAGAATCCCGCGGCGAAGGCCGATGCGTAAATCACAGAGGAGAGGCTCGACTCGGTTTCCACGCGTTTGACTCCGCCCTCTCCTCGTCCCGCTGCCGCTACAGCTGTGCGTCAGCTGTCGGCCGGCTCGGTCTACTCGGGGAGATGAAGTTGAACTCTCGGCGGCTCCGGCGGGAAGAAAGACCGGCCTCTCTTTCGCTCCCAGCTGTCGTTCCCACTTCAGACTTGCAGCGATCGTCTTTCCTCCTCCCCTCGTGCCACCACTGGACTCCTTTCCTCGGACACGTTTCATGAGGAAAATATGCGAGCTGTCAGCTGTCATGTCACTTTGTCAACATTGTTGTGGTATTATCTGACAAAAAGCAGTAGGTGAGACTAAATGATGTTTTGGGATTTTTTTTTTAATGCTTCCATTCAGCGCGGATTGATTGTTGTTTTTGTTTTTAAATCTCTCCAAATCTAATTTGCTTTGTTGTACAACCACCGCCGGCTGGATCAACCCGTCCAATGAAGTGAAAGCCAGTTTGATATCAGCAATTTGGAAAAACGACAGGCCTCACAAGTCCCCGGGGTTGTGGCAAAGCAGCCGCCAGAGTAAATGTCGTGCTAATTGTAACGTCCTCGATCACCGCTGGAGTTCTTTTCTATTGGCGACAAAAGCATCATTGTCACCCAGCAGGCCAAAGACAAAGGAGCAAATTAGCGCCTCAAAGTGGCTTTGGGCACTTTTGGCTTTGTGCTCGCTCTTTGTTTCAAGAGAATTATCAAAAGACGGCGATGCCAGGCACAATTTGTTCCTGGATGAAAAACAAACTCCGCGGACCAGTCTTTTAACATTCTGAGCAGTCAGAATATCGTATCGAGTTTTTTTTCCACTCGACAGGGTGGGACAAATGTAAGGATGCGGTTCACTTTGTATTTTATTCTAGTGACGATGATTAAAGCACAGTTAAGGTGTTACGTTTCACGGTTGAGGCTTTTGATGTGAAAGGAAAAGCCATGCACACTGAGATCGTCAACTGTTTCTGAATGTTTCTTCTTTTTTTTTTTTTGTCTCGTCGACAGGAATGCCTGTGGTCAGCAGTGCGTCTGCGGGCAGGTAACCAGGCGCGCCGCTGCAGTCATGGCCGGGCCGGCCGGGTGGCTCACACCTTCCTCTGTGGTCACCGCCCTGGCGGCGGTGCTGGCGGTGCGGGTGTCGTCGGTCGAAGAGCACGAGTGGCACTTTGACGCAGGTTGGGCACGTTGTCTCCTTTTCGAGTGAACTGCCGAGCCCGTTCGATCGTTGATGTGAACCAAAACAGCGCCACCTACCGAAGCAAGTCAATGGCCTCGAGATTTTTCAATGGATTTTGAAGTGTGTTCCTTCTGCGCCATGAAAGCTGATCTCAGATCTCTGATCTCATCTGCGCTCTGACATTGTGTGGCGCAACGAAACGTCCAACGAACAGGGCGACGTGATCTTGATGCGTCTGCGTGGGCCGAGAGCGTAGCGGTTAGCGTCAGCGGCTAGTCTTCAATTATTCATGCCCGAGGAACGAGGGCAGCGGCACAAATGCGACAAATGTCACCAAATGTAATGCAGACAAGTAGCATGTTCATTTACGAAATGGGCAAGTCCATTCTTAAATACCAAAAAAAAAACCAGTCCGTGGCTCAATGCTAACATTAGCGACCGCTGTTCTGTGCTGAAAAAAATATTCATGTTGTCACTGAATCACTTACTTTGCCTCGACTAGGATCAAGTTATAGTTGACTACCAAAAAAAAGAAAGCTCGAGTTATTCAACTCCCCCCCCCCCCCCCCCCCCCCCCCACCGGCGCCTTAGTTTCTTCCTCCCTTCCAATATTCTCCTCACATCGTCAAATCAGCGAGTCTCATTCCCGTTGTGTTATCAACAGGCTCTGCGCTGTGTTCTCTTCCTGTCTGTCAGCTAGTCGAGTGGAACAGGAGAGTGAAATGCTCCCCGCCCCCTCTCCCCCGTTCTTCAGGACGGCTAATACCCAGCCACATTACCAAGTGTCAGTCGGTGGGGGCAACCAGGTGGAACAGGAGCGCGCGCCGGCTTTCATATCCGACTGCGGCAGCAAGCGCGAGCCGCAACTTCAACGGCGCTTTTGTTGCAAACGGCGACAAGAGTTTCGCCCAAACTCATTACACGGCTTGTTTGTTCCGGGCGCAATGCTTTTTGGATTTACAACTGGAAAGTAGTCTGCGTAGATGATATTGGGACACACGGACGGCTGTGACGGGGGGGGAAAATGTGGTTGATTGATGTGTGGGAGCAAATCTTCGAGAGTTGAAGATTCGAAAGCAGGCCTTGGATAGAAAGCGTGACTCTTGAGCCGACTTTTACGAGTCACAGCCACGACTTCTGTGAAACAAATTTTCACCAGAATGAGGTTTTTGGAGTGCGTTTCCAAAATGTGGATTTCATTTGATCTAATGACAAAAAAAAAAAAAAGACACAGTTATTGAGCGTCATGACGATGATTTAATGACGTGGGCACCTGTTTAATGGGTGTGGATCCAATGTGGGTGCGCGTATGCTCCACCCTCTGGGCTTTTTAACATTTGTCACTCGGCTCCAAATTCCAACGGGGTGACTCAATGACAACGACCCCCCCCCCTCCCACTCCCCCTTCCTGTCCTGTCAGTGCCCTTCTCTACTTTATCGCCACCCAAGCCTCCCCTCGGAGCAGACAAGCTCCTCATCTTTGTATTCGTTTGATAATGCCTGCCGCTGGAATAGAGTCAACGCCGGCACCCGAGAGGCTCGCCTGCAGCCGGCGCCGTGGTTTCTGTCGCTCCTTTTGTTCCCCGTGCCGCAAATCCTCCCCGGCAGGGCTCACGGTAACGGGAGCCGCGCCGGGTCGCACAAAAGGTGCAATGAGAAGGGTGTCGTCTTGGAAGTCGACTCGAATCCGCGCATTTCCCAGCTGCATTCATGTGCAGTGTGAGATGTTCGGGTGTGCTGCGGGAAATTCTGAATTAACGGCAAATATGTGGAGCCGTGTCAACAACGTGTTATGACAGACGGGGCAATCAAGTGTTGAAATGAATGCAAATAGCATTCATCGGCTCTGGCCTCTCCCTCTAAACAACAAAATTGTTGTAGTAGAGAAAAATGACACTCTCTATTATATTTGATCAAGACCTCCAATATGACATAACAGATTAGAATTCAAAATAATTGATCGTTTTCATCCAAGTTTCTCTTTCAGTGGACATTTCGCAACCTGCGGGTAGTATAAGACAGGCAGACAGATGCACGGCACTGTACTGTAGACTCAGCTCCTCTCTCGGGTTCTCGGTACAGCAGTAATACGTTTTCCCAACAATGACATGACAAGGCAAATTCGCCGTGACCAAATGCTCGGGACTGAGAGATTGAGTTTATCCCCCTACTGATGCTCTTTGCTGATAGCACGATGGCTCATGGCTCTTCTCTTTTCTTTTTTTTTTCTTTTCATCTCCGTCGCCTTCCTGTCTGCATCTGCAGCCGCTCAGTGTCGTTACGCCCTGGGGATGGAGGATGGCAGCATCCTAGACTCTGACATCACCGCCTCCAGCGCCTGGTCAGACTCCACCGAGGCCAAACATGCAAGGTCAGTGAGTTGAGCCGTTCAATTATTCGCGTTCGCTGCTTTTGGCTGTACGGGGTGGGCCAAAAGGTTTAAAATGGACCAATTCGTTGGTCCGTATTTTCAAATAACCTAAATTAATTTATTTGAATCAATTAGTGGACTTTAAAGCAGTATTGGATTGGGACCGTCGATTGGAAAGTAGAAAAGTCATTTCAGGCAAATGAAGGAAGGATGCAAAAAAAAAAAAAAGACAAAGGGGGAAAAAATCTTTCAGGAAGGAAAAGATGCCAGGACAAAAAATGTAAATGTCATTCAAACCTTTTTTTCCCCAGTGTCCTTTTAGCGACCTCGAATATTTATTCACTTTTCCACCCACCGCCACTACCAAAACAATGCCAACATATTTCAGATGATGACATGCAACCTTGTGTGTTGATTTCTGCACAACGATGTGTCAAGTGTTTCCGTCTGCTCCGCATCCCTCCGATGTTTTTACTCCAAGCCAATGCCTTGCAGTAAAACAGGATCATGCACGCCCCGCCTCCCCCCTCAGCCCCATCAAAAAGCAATTTGTCCCAAGCCTATTGTGACAGAAGATGACCGAGTGGGCGTTTGTGTTTTGTAATGTCATTAGCTACTTAGCTGTCTGGCAGGAAAGGCGCTGAGAGCAGGGTAGGCCCCGCAAGGCGCTCTCATAACCACGCGTAGGAGCGATACAGCCAGTGTGTATGTGTGTGGGCGAGCGCGTGTTTGGCTGAGAGCCCGACCGTGTGGAAATGATTATTAGCCGCGGCGCTCTCTCAGGAGACACGGGGGGAGCGCAGGGGAGGTTGTCAAACGCAAAGACGGACGGAGCGGCGGACGCATGGCAAAGCAAACAAGCGAGGAGGGATCGGCGCTAAAAGCACGCGAGGAATCGTTTGAAAACGAGCTTACAGCCCGCGAGGGGAGAGAGAGCCTGATTGATGCGGAGATGAGCGCAGCAATGGAGCTCCAAGAAAGTGTGTGTGTGTGTGGGGGGGGGTCAATAATGGCCTTTCCGATTGGAAGCAATTAAGAGTCTTGGACAAAAATGCATCGCGTCTACAGTTAAGTACTTCCACTGTCTGCGAAAATCCGCGTTGCAGAGACACCATGTGAAAAAACCCGCTTCAAGAACGTTTTAGTCATCGCGCGCATTTGAAGCACATTTTAATTTGGGAAACACACAGCGAGCGGGTTTATACGTTGAAACTCAAATTCAGGATTGGAAACCAGATCGGCTGACCGAGAGGCACATGTGCTAAATGCTATCGCTTCTGTCTTGTAACTGTCCAAAATTCAGAAGTATTGGAATTAAATAGAAGACGATTTGGCCAAATGTTTTTGGAATGTGGGAGGAAACCGGAGCACCCGGAGAAAACCCACACAGGCACAGGGAGAACATGCAAAGGAATGCCGGAGTCAGACTAACTAACTAACTAACCAATTGACCACCGTGCCACCCTTGTGTTCCTGTTATTATATGTTTTTTTTTTTTTTTACTTGGGTTTTTTTTTTCATTATTTATAGTAGTACTAATTTTGTGACTTTTCACCTTATTTCGGGTATTAAAAAAAAAGTAGTTAAAATCTGCTGATGCCTTTTTGGTTTATTTATGTATTTATTTGTTTGTTTGTTTATTTGGATAGCGACATCTTTTGATTATCGCCAGGCTCCTGATAATTTATTCATTTTAATTATTATTTTTTTTTTCTCCAGACAATATTTTTCCCAAGTTGTGAAGAAAAAGCACTTTTGGTAGCTTTCCAATACATGGTGACATTGTCTTTATCCCGTACAATCCCCCCCAACCCCCCCTGGAAGTGAAACAATATAACGCACGAACGCAGTGTTGACGGCCGGGCCCCGCTCATCTTCCCATCGCGGCCCTCTAATGGGTGTGAAATCATCCGTCTGTTTCCTGCAGCATGAGCTCACCCTCTGGAGGGAGCAGCAGCGTCACTGTCAGCGTGACACCATCCATGTCATGAATTTGCTTTCAGGTGGTCCGAGCAACACGCTGGGCGTCCTCGGAGGAAAGTCGCACTGGAAGGTCCAGTGACTCCGTGGGGAAATGTGTGTGTGTGTGTGTGTGTGTGTGTGTGTGTGTGTGTGTGTGTGTGTGTGTGTGTGTGTGTGTGCGTCCGCGTGTTCATCCAAGAAAGACTGTTAGAACACAGAGTGCAGCTCACCTCATTTCCTCTTCTTCGATGTGCATGCCCTCCGTACAGTTGTACATTTTCCCAGCTTGTGTGGTTGCAGACAACATTGTCAGCTTATACGTGGGCGTCTTCTCGCTGCGGAATCAATTATGATTTGTTTTGTAGCAAACTCTCGGTTTCACCCGTGCGTGCTGCAGCCGTCGTCGTGGGAACAGTCGAGTTGAGCGTTTTTTTTTTTTGTTTGTTTTGTTTGTTTTTTTTTTTTGTTTTTTTTTTTTAATTCCATCCTCTCCTTTCGCTGTTGGACGGCAAGTGTAAATGAGACCTGTGTCCATCTGCAGGTTGAGCACTGGAGAAGGGGACGGAGCTTGGTGCCCCGCAGGCGCCGTCTTCCCCGATGGATCGGAATACCTCCAGGTTAGCGCCACGCCTCCCCCCACTCATTTTGATTTACAATCGCACTCGTGTCCTTTTGGTCTGCACAAGTCACATGACCTTGGAGGACATACAGTGCAATGTGACCGCGTCTTTCTGGAAGAATACACGGCCAAACCTTTTGAAGTATGTACAGGGTGACATGATGCGAGACTGGAAGTCTCTGAGCACCTACGGTGCATCTAAAAAGTCAACATTGGTTGGTTCAAATGCCCGGATTGGAAGACCTGACCCCAAAAGTGACAGGAAAAGCCTACTAGAACTTTATTTGCGGTTGCTCGGAGGCACTTGAAATGTTGGCAGGTGTGTGCTGACTCCTATTTAATGTAAACTGAATGATGAACATGGCCACATCCTCAGTTATAAGAGGGTGTGCACACTTGTGCAAACACAATATCTCAATTTGCTTTTACTTCCCACCCTCTCAAAAATATTTTTTTCCAATTGAGTTGTAAAGGTGATGAAATCTTGTGCTTTTTTTTTCCCCTTATCACAAAAACCTGGCATTTGACAGGGGTGTGTAGACTTTTGATATCCATTGAATAACAGGGATGGGCAAACTTTTGCGGGCCTCGGTTCATTTTACAACAGAAAGATCAGCCAGGACATTTGTAGATGTCGCAAGAAGTGTCTGTAAAATACTCTATTGAAAAAAGAATTTAAAAAGTACGACATAGCTCACGTGCTATTAGCAAAGTTCCCAAACTCGACATTCGGTGTTTGATAATCAAGCTGACACACTTTTGAATGTCACGAGGGTTCCACTAATACAAGCTCGCCAACAACCTGTGCCGCGCTAGCTAGCATTGTGTGTTTTCCCTCCATCGCTAAGCTAACCTAACTGATTCCCCTTTACCTGCAGGTGGACCTTCGCAAGCTCCACTTCCTGGCCCTGGTGGGTACTCAGGGTCGCCACGCCGACGGGCACGGCCAGGAATTTGCCCGTAGTTATCGCCTGCGCTACTCTCGAGACGGCGTGAAATGGATCACCTGGAAGGACCGCTGGGGCCAGGAAGTAAGGACGGAAATGAAGCGTGTTCATTTAGTGTGGTGTGAGCAGGACTTCATCGTTGTCTTTTTTTTTCTTTTTTTTTTTTTTCTTAATGCGTAAGTCCTCTGTGAGGACTTATGGAGAAGCCGTGCCATGGTGGAACAAAAAGAGCCTAGTGGGCCTTTTTCAGCTCAATCCAATGACACACCTGTGCTGAAAGCAGCCGTTGTGGGGTCCCTCGCCAATATTTTCTTTTGCGATCAGCTCCGGGCGGAGCGTCTGTGCACTACAATGGGACTTAGCAATGTTTTAAGGAGGCCGCCGTTATTCTGAACCTGCCTCAGCGAGAGACTCGAGTCTGCACAATTGCCGCAGCGGCAAAGTTTCGCCTCAGGCTTTGACTCTCAAATCAGTTGGCACGTTCAAGGCTTCTCCTTGGCGCTTTTCTGCGATGAAAATCATCACGCCGCTTGAAGTGAATGCCAGACTTGAGAGGGCGGAGGGCTGTTGAGAATCACTCGCTCTCCTTTTTCGTGAGGGCAGTTGTCGTCTAGCTTAAGAAACGCATGATGAAAACTGCAACTCAGACTTGTAGTTGTTGTCCAGTGTTCCCTCACTTATCGCGGTTAATGGGGACCGGGACCCTGCCGCAACAAGTGACAAACCGCGATGGAGCGTTGGCTCCCCCCGAGGAATTTTTGTGTATGTGGGTCAATCATGCATACAGCCACGTACAAAACTTCAGAGTCATTCGGCATTTTTTTTTTTTTAATACAGTACTTTGGGGGGAAAAAATAGCGATAAATGAATCGCGATATCGTGAGGGATCACTGTAATTAGTGGGCGTCCCACATGTGTTTTTCTTCAACAAACCATACAATCTGTAGTTGTGTTTCATACAGCGACACCGGTAACGCGTTACCCAGCTTGAAACTAGCACAAACAAAACTGCTTGTTCCTCCAAGGTGGTGTCCGGGAATGAGAACACCTACGATGTTGTTCTGAAGGACCTGGGCCCCCCCATAGTGGCCCGCATGGTGCGCTTCTACCCGCTGGCCGACCGGGTCATGAGCGTCTGCCTTCGAGTGGAACTGTACGGCTGCGTGTGGACGGGTAAGCGGCTGTCACGTGACCGGACTTTGCGGATCTCGTGATGAATTGTCATTCGTCAGTCTGAGCGTGCCGTGAAATTTTTGGACTGGATTGTTCGTAGTTGTTCTGTTTATTTATGTTGTGCTAAGGTGGCGGTTGTCATAAATATTGGCCAGAGAAGCAAAAAAAAAAAAAAAAAATGCTGAGTCACCCTCGGGACATCAAGGCAAAGTCAGTAATGTTGTGAGGATGGCAGCGAACTCTACGTAGGGGCTATATCACAGAAAGACCAAAATGATTGGTGGGGGAGAGGGGAAGCGGCTGTAAAACAGGCCGAATCCAGATGTCAAGGGGTGTGGCAGGGTGAGAGATGTTTTTTTTTTTTTGTTTTTTTTGCAAGCTTGCCCTTGATGATGTCATCATTTTTCTGTCCGTAGCTGTCTTTGCTTTGTCAGAGCAAAAAAATTTGAACAAGTCGAACGTTTCTGTCGAGATCTGGGCGCATTTCTGAACCTGAGAAATGCGAGCTATTTGATTGCAAGTTTACATTGCATTGATGTGTCGTGCCGTTGCTTTCAAAAGTTGCTCCGTGAAAGTGGTGGGATCAAGTCAGGTTAAGTCCTGCCGCGCCGCCGACATAAAGAGAAGACTTCACACCTCAAATTAAAGAAATGAAATGTTGGAAGGGCCTCAACAAACGTGCTTGCAGTTGCTTCAACTCAGCTTTTGTGGTCCACCGTGATCGGAATCTACAGAGGAGGGGAAGTGTGCTCATCTTTGGAGAGCCCTCAAAGCAGCCCAAAAATAGCGAACGTTAGGTGTCGAGTAGGTTCAAGCCTGGTTCAAGTGGCCCAGCGTGAACGCGCGTCCTTTTGCAGAAGGTGAAAAATGATCGAGTTGATAAGAATGATTCCAAGTGTGTGTGTGTGTGTGTGTGTGTGTGTGTGTGTGTGTGTGTGTGTGTGTGTGTGTTTTTCCCCCTCCACGCGTCAAACGCATCGCTTTGAGAGATTGCATCAAATTTACAGGCAGGATGCCGTCTGCCAGCTTGGGTGTCTGCCCTCTGATGAATAGCTTTAGCTCTGCGCGATTCCCCCCCCCCCAACCCCCGAGCACTCACTGTATTTATGAGCGCTCGCCTTCTCCGCAGTGGCGTCCCAGCTCCCTCGTTCATCACGCCGCCGCCGCCTCTTGATCAGCGCCGTCCCGCTCTTGTCTTTTAGCAAGAGCGTCTCATTCAAGTTCGCTCCAAAATGGAAGGAGTGAGCAGGGTCACTTCCGATTGTCTGGAGCCGGAGATCAGCCATATTCCGGTTTTATTTTAATATGGCCCCTTTTGCGCCAATCAGCGCCGTTTGAGTGGGTTTGTTTTGGGTCAGTTCTAATTGTCTGGAGCTGGGGATGAGGTTTATTTATAGTCTTAACATGGCCTCTTTTTACGACAATCGGCACCGTTTGAGTGGATTTGTTTGAGGATGCGCTGGCATATGGCTGAAATTGTTTCGTCGCGACGTACTTTCTTTACTTTCACTTGCAAGAGTCATAAACCATGCGGACGAAACTTGAAAGCTGAAATGATCTCTGTTATCCAGCCAGCGGGCACAGCGTCATTCACCCAAATGATGGACTTGATGGAGTAGCTTGCTTGTCACTTGGCTGAATTTGTTGGGTCGCGACCTGGGCAAAGGGTTCCTCTGTCATACACTGCAGGGAAAGGACAGGGAGAGGCGGCATACGACTTTGGCTGCGGAATTGACTCAGATTTTTTTTGGGGGGGGGGGGCGGGGGGGGTTTTAATGAATTGGTAACAAAAATTGGTATTTCAATTCAAAATGCCAAAACCACTTTTCAGAAGCGCACCTAATTTGATTAAAAAATGAATTTCATTCCTCCAGAGGCTATAATCATCAAATGAGAACATAATTTTCTCCACGCATCTCTACACTGTACGCATAAAGTTTTCGAATTGATCACCTGAAATAGTTTTCAACCAAACTTTTAGTACGGAGATGCGACTAGTACACTCGTTTGGCTATTGAATTATCAAGATGTTTATTTTTCTCCACAGTGCCATCTGCTGGATGTGGTGGGGCAGTGCCCTCCTTTGCCCCTCATCCAAAAATTGCCCCACTTTGTCAAAAGTTCTCAAAAGACTTCCGAAAGAGTGAAATGGGAATCCTGGCCGACCAAAAATGAACATGGTGCCAAATGCGCTCGATTTTTTTTCATTTTTTTCTCATGCATCATATACAGTCATGTTAGCCTACTAAAAACCGCGCTTCGATGAGTAAAATGACTCAAAAAAGGCAAATATTATGCCAGGAATGGTTTATTCTGGAAACCAGAGTGCTGCCCACGTCTGCTTTTCCTGATTAACTGATCTGTCGTCCAGGCCGCGTGGACCCGAGTAACGGAGCCCTGGGTTTGTTTGCCTAGTTTGAAGCAAGTGCTCACCGTTTGCCCGCCTCGCTGATTGCAACCGAATCGGCTCCGTCGGATCGGAACACGCCGCACGCGCTCAGGTGACGAAGGGTTGGCATGTTGACTCCTCAATCATTCCCGCTTCTCCGTCACTTCTCTCAGATGGCTTAAAGGCTTACGCGGCTCCAGTTGGTCACGTCATGAATCTGTCGGGCTTGCCCGTCTACCTGAACGACTCCACCTACGATGGCAGCACAGAGCAAGGGTAAGTGCTGTTCGCCGACTCCTCTCGCTGCTGTTAAAAAAAAAATATATATATAAAGTATATATATATATATATATATATATATAGTATACAGGTACAGTATATATAAATAATATCTAAAGTATATATATATATAGTTGAAATTGTAGTTATATGGCAAGAAGGAGCAAGTGTTTCCCAAAGATGGAAGAAAGGTGACCCGCTGTGTTATTGTAGTTGCTGAGGGATTTGGAGGCACGTTTCCTGGCCATAATGTCTTGGCAGGCCGCTAGACGGGCCGCATCAGGATTCGTGGCAGGGTCACGCTCGCTCAGGCTGCGCGGTTAATGGGCCCAAAATGTTTTGCTTATGAGTAAGCGAACACCTCTTGATGCGATCCAGACGCATTCTGGCGCAGATGTGTGTTCGTGGGAGACAAGAGAAGGTGGGGTGACCTCTCTGTGTTTTTTGTGTGGTGCGCCTGGCTTGGGCGATATGGCCTTTAAATAAAAAAATAAAAAATAAAAAAAATTCAATCCATTTTTTTTCCGTCTCGATCTCAGTTCTAATTAGATTTTTTTTTTCCACATTTGCTTTTAGAGGATGCAAATGACAATGTCAATTTCTACGCAGACCATTTTTGTGTTCCGTTGCCCATCAAATATCTGGTCAACAAAAGCCTTCAAATTAGAGGAAAACAGAACAGGATTATTTTGTGCGCGAGCTTGTCCATTTCTTGTCGAAACATGTATGGAAATGAATTAACGTTTTAAACGTTGAACAATTTAACATCCGAAAATGACCGCGCTAAATGAGCGCCTCTCTATTCGAAGCCACGTGAGTCGAACCCGTGCAAGTCAGCCGGAAAAACTCGGGCCGACAACTGAAATCAAACTCGTTCACCGCCATTGACGGCGACAGACGTCAAAGATCCGTTTGACTTGGGCTGGCAGTGAATGATAAAATCAATCACTGGTCGAGCCCTCTCCTCGTACATTGAGGCTCCTCCTACATTTCTGCGCAGGGTGCAGTTTGGCGGCCTGGGTCAGCTGTGCGACGGCGTCCTGGGAGGAGACGATTTCATGGAGAGCAAAGAGCTGCGGGTGTGGCCCGGCTACGACTACCTGGGCTGGAACAGAGATGTCCTCGGGAAGCCCAGCGTGGACATTGAGTTCCACTTCGAGAAGCCTCGCGTGCTCCGTGTCATGCAGGTAGGCAGCGCCACGGCAGCCCGTGGCTGTGTACTCATGTATTATTTTTATTTTTTTGTTCTTACAAAAAAAAAAAATTATGAGATTAACGCTCCATCATGTTATACTTTAAACAAAGAATAATGACATGATTAAACAAACAGTTTGGTCACACTCTTTCAATGCGGATTGTGCTCCTCTTTCCGTCGCGCATAACTTGGCCACCTGGGGGCAGTAGAAGACGGACTTCTCAGTACGGCAGTAATATTAGGCATTCCATGCGGAGGATGAAGAATACACACGTGCGGTGTGTTAAATGGTTGGTCTACATGTGCTGCTGCATCGTTTGTGTTCCTATATCATTTGCTGAAAGGGTAAAACGACCGCTTTAAAGATGCCGGCAGAATTTCTTCAAATATTAATGCAGGTCATGCGGTTCATGAGGTCTTGAACGTGATCATACAGATACGGCGCAAACTCTCTTTTCATAGATTTCTGATGGTGCACAGGCATTTTGGTTATTCTTTTGCTTTTTTGTGCGGTCGGTCGTAAATCTCCCCGTTTTATAGAATGCTGCGTCGTCGCAAGCAAGTATTGAGCTGGCTTTGTCTTGAAAGAGAAAAAGAATTTGAATCCTTTAATGATCCCTCAAGAGGGGGAATTCGGTTTGCCAGCGTTCTCACACTCCCAACGCATCCGTGCAGGGGGAAATGCGTATATACACTCACCGATTTTAAAAAGATCTTATTTGGATTCCGACACATCCGCTGTCTAAAAAAGTCCCTTTTTTTTGCTGTTGTTTGTTTCCACTTGAATGGGATCTTTGTGATCCCGCTGGAACTTCTTTGCGGCATATTTCCGAAGAGTAATCACGCGCCGAAACCACGTTCGCTACCTTGGTGATCACGTGGCTCCCCGTTCAATTTCCTGTCTCCATTCACTTGCATCCCCACTCGAGGCGCAAGTGCCCCCCCGAAATAATGATTTGTCTCCAAGATGTTCTTTGTAGCACCACCAGCTCATTTCCACTTTGGAGCGCATGACCCCAATTGGAATCTGGAGAAACTTGTTGCGTAAATCAAGTGTACTCATGAATAAAAATGAGTATTTATTTTTTTATGAAGGGCTATAAATATGCATTATTTTATTATTTTATTTTATTTAGTTATTAAGCACTCTCAAAACGCTTCCCATGTGTTCAACACAGATAAGGAAGCTGACAAATAGTGTTTTTTTTTTCTCTCTCATTTAATTGAAGGCTTTGATCTGATAAATGAATAACCTCATTAGGCTAAGTCAAGCATCACGGCGGGCTAATAGGTGTAGACGAGGCTAATGCTTTATTTATGGCTTGAATGAAGCACTGCACCCACCCCTGCGGGTCATGTGATCCATGCGACCTTGAAAATACACGACGTCAACACAGCGGGGAAATTATTTTTTTCACTATTGGAGTGAGAAATTTTCCATCACGCGTATCTTCGCTCTGACAAAATGTCGCCAATTTTCACGGTCACTATAAACATCCCAAGCCCCGATTTTCAAAAATGCGTTTCCTTCCCAATGAAAACACTTTTCAGCTAACCCGATAAAATTCTCACCATTTTTTTTTCCTCCCCAACATTTTCCGCGCTATTAAGTCGCACCGAAAAGCATTCAGTTTTCTCAAAAGCCGACAGTGCACCTTATAATCCGGGACGTAGTATTTTAAATCTTCAGTAAAACGCTTTGTTATGGCTGCAGCAGTTGTGAAAGCTCGATGTAAATTAAAAAAAAAAAGCTGTATTGTATTCTCTTTAGTGGAGCTCCATCTAGTGGATGCACAATGCAACCACATCCACGATTGTAGCTTCTATGCTATGCGCCTAATAATGCGGTGCGCCTGTTACATGAAAACAGTTTTCAAACAGTCCATTCATTGAAGGTGCGCCTTATACGCCGAAGCGCCTTACCGTGTGGAAAATACGGTACTGAAACCACGATGAGAACAGTTTGTCTCATCCTGTTGAAACAAGATGGCTTCTGCTGACAAGTTTGGTGTTTTTAAGATTGTCCCATCATGTTAATCATTCACCGCACGTCCACCGTGTTTTAGTAATGAATCCTTAAATTTTACACGCGTTGTTTTGGATGGAGCCTCGAAATCTCCCCTGGTGTTTTACTCGCAGTCTCTTTTTTTTTTTTTTTTTTTTTGTTCGGCTCAGGCTGTTTCCTGGATTTTCACCAGGGGGTTTCCCAACTCTAACCTCAACTGACATGACGCCGTGGATTTGTCAAGAGTGGGAACGCGAGCCCCATTCCAGCAAAGTTACTTAACATGCACCCGTTAACTTGTCACGCAGCCGAGTGTGACCTCACCTCACCAGTGCGTTAACCTGCACTTCCTTGAACACACAATGGATTGCTTTGGTTCCCCTCGGGGGGGGGGGGGGGCGTTGGGGCGAGAGGCTTCGTGGACCTCTAGTCGTGTCCGTTTGGGATTTTATTGAAAGCAACCGGTGCGACCTTGGCTCCAACCCGCACACGTGCAGAGAAAAAATGGCTGGCAGGCAGCTCAACATGTGACGCAGCTGTTGGCCTCACATGTGGCTCCACTTACAGGTGACGGGCTCGGAATCAAGCTCCAGGTTAGCAACGCGTCACCTCCGGCGCCTGCGTTTCGTCATCGCTTCCCCCCCCCCCCCCCAGGGCCGCATTTTGGCGCCTAATTCCGGTCGCCGCCTCGAAGGCACGCCGTGCGTTATCAGCATTGCGGAACCTTGAGCGCAACGTGGTGAATTTTCCCACCGCGACAAATGCAAATGCTAACATGACTCCAAAATGTCCACCCTGTCATTATTTTGGGACATTTTCAGCTTCCACTTACTTTTGTTGAAAATATATTCTCGTCTCCTCCGCAGGTGCACAGCAACAACCGTCACACGCAGGGTGTGCGGGTGTTCAACAAGGTGGAGTGCGTTTTCAAGGGCGGCCTGCTGCAGCCGTGGTCGTCGCCGGCGTTGGCCTTGGCCGTCCCCCTGGACGACCTCAAGGACCCGTCGTCCCGCACGCTCTCCCTGCCCCTGGACGGACGCCTGGCTCACATCCTGCGCTGCAGCTTCTTCTTCACCGACACGTGGCTGCTCCTCAGCGAGATCTCCTTCCTGTCGGGTAACGACGACGACAGTACCTCTTCTTCGACTCCTGCGCCGAACCCGCGCTGCCGTTACTTGCTACGTCTTTTACGCCGATTGCCGACGTCCACTTTTACCGCCATCACGTCCGTTACTGTATTTATTAATCTTTGTACATGTACTGTCAGAGTGCGAATTTCCTTTTCGACCTTGGCGGTTATCGTCTTTGCGGCATCTCACTTCAAGTTCCTCGCCTGAGAGAGAGCGACATCCCCAACAGTTTTGTTGTTTTGTCCCTCGCTGCGTTATTTCCATTGTGATGCGTTATCACGCTCGGCGCGGGTATTTGTATGTGCGCCGCGTTGCAGCGTGGGAAGAAAAGCGGAGTGAAGCTTATTTATACCCAGGTAATGTCACGGATCGCCAAGTCAACTGGCAAATTTTTGTTTTTTTTTTTTATTCGGCTTGATCGACTTCAACAGAGCCTTGGTGGGAGGCGTTTACTCTCCCTCCGCACATTATGCGCTGTATCAACTCTTTGGGTTTATGGACTAAAACGTACTCAGGCCACGCACAAATGGAAGCGAACGGGATCCTCTGCAAATTGGGAGGAGTCACGCTGCTTGCCACTTTAAACTGTCTTCCCTCCAAAACTGTGGGGGGAGGAAAAAAAAAAAAGGGCCATCAGTCATCGTAAAGTACCTCGTAATCACACCTAACCTCGGAAAGCGAAAAGAAAACTCCAAACGGCTGCTCATAAATAATGCATTGTTTGGCAGTAAACAAAACTTTTGACTGACAACTTCAGCAACCCGGCGCGCTTGACTTGACAAACTTACAACTGCACTTTCTAATGAGATCCAATGGGACGACTTTACCATCGACTCTGCATTACAAAGATGATCATGCTTTTTTTAGAATTTTGTGTGTGTGTGTGTGTGTGTATATAGATATAAATAGATAATTTTTTTTTTTTTTGCCCTTTGACACCTACTGGACATTACCATGTTTGAATGTTTTGTTTGCCAAGGTTACTTCATGCCAGTCATGATCTGGAAAAGCAATTTGAGCTTGCAATTGCTATTTTAAATCATTTCAGTGCGAAGCTGTCGCTCCCTTTTCGATTTCTAAGTTTAATTTCCTGTTCATGTTTTTTTTTTTTCATCGTCATAAGCATAATGTAAAAACTCATAATAAATGAAAAATGAAAAAAAGACATTTTTAAAAATGCCTCCATCACCCACGACCTTAATGAAGTCAAGCATGATAGAGAATGGATGTTGTGATGTTTTTCTGAAAACTCTCTCTGGTTCCCCCTTCCCTCCAGACACTTTTGAAAATGACATGACACAAGCGAACGGTCGCAAGACTCCCTCCACCAGCTCCTCACCATCCGTCAAGCGCACCTCCGCCTCTTCTGCCCCGAGCGACGGCACCTCCAGCGCCGGCACCGTTGCCTCCGGTGAGTTCTGCTCTTCAAGCTCCGCCTCCCGGTAAACCACCCCCCCACCCCACCCCGCACCTCCTCCTGCTCCTCTGCCAGCTCGTCATTACCCATCATGCTTCACTCCTCCACATCTACCAGCCTGTCTTTATCTTTGTCTCAAACTCACTTTGATGGTACACCTGTTGGCCAGCCCCCTTTTAAGCTCTAAATCTGATCGCACGTTGCATTAGCCAAAATGGCCCGCCTTTGTCGGGTATCTTATTTTTTATTTTTTTAACTCCCTGTACGAGTAATAGGAGTGAGTTTTTTTTTTTTTTTTTTTTTTTTTTTTTTTTTTTTTTTTTTTTTACTTTTTAGTATAGAATTAAGAAAACATGAACTGTAGCTACATTGCGTTTATGCTAACATGTTGACACGAAGCACATTGCAGTGCGTCAACAGAAAATATATTTTTGAAATAATCCAATAGCCTTAAAAAAAATTCTAATGTTGAAATGTCATCGACGATGCAGAAAAATCAATCGCTGTACTTCCTACGGTGTAGATTTGAACTGAACTGAGTTGCGATAAGGAGCAACGCAAGTACGCTGGGAAAAAAACAAATTATAAAGGATTTTGTAAGGTTCTTTCACCGTAAAATAAAATTTTGGGAAGCAAGGACACTCAGCAAATGCCACTTTTGTCAAGGTTTAAGGTCGTTAAAATTAATCTTCAATTTTTTTTTAATTAAATATTCAATCAGATCAATGAGGAGGACACTTTGCTTCGAAAATAAATGGTTTTCTGTTGATTGGCTTATATCTATTTTATTTTCCGGGGATGCAAGTGGCACGGATTCAGTCAAATGGTTGAGCAGAAAATCAAACAACCCAAAAATGTTTGCACTACCTGCCTTAAGGCCTGTGTACTTGTACGCTCTGTCGACATTTGAGCGCAAGAGTACAAAGATGATGTCCTCCCCCCATTATTATATATATATTATATATACAGTATGGGGGGGCAGGGGGGGGACGATTTGCGTCAGGACTCGGAATCCTTTGCGCCCTGCCGGGGGGTCCTCACGCCCCCTCATTCGCTGTCTTCTTCCATCGCCACCTCCGCTCATTCACACCCTCCTCCGTTGTCCGTCCGTCTCCTCCTCGTCCTCCCTCTCCAGCGCCTCCTCCCGCCGCCGGCTCCACCTTCACCACGGACACC